CAGACCATCGATTCAGTAATTTTGGTTTTAAAACCTCTCTCTCGAGCAAGCCAAAAACACGAAGTTAAGAATATATTTTCAACTAAAACCCATTAAATTCAACCATAATTACTTAACGAAAACACCTTTAAACAGTAATTAAACTATCAATTAACAACACCCAGCAGTTATATCAACCCATATTCACATAATCACACCCCAAGAATTGGGGTTTTAGCTAGACATCATAAAAAGGTAAAAATTTATACCAAGTTGTGTTTCCATCATTTTGGTAGGATTTATATGGTCTTTACAAAGGTCTAAGATGAACAATCTTCAACACCCACTTCAAATTTCTTAGAAATGGAAATCTTCAAATCTTCAAAACTAAGGAAAAATGTCTCCAAAAACTCAGTTCTCAGCTCTCAAACTTGAAAAATGAATAATATCACTGATAAAAACTAAACTACCTCCTAAACTAAGAATTTAAAAATGTATTTATAGTCGCCCAAAAATGTGTTGCGAAGGACCATTCGGCACAGTAAGCCGGGATCGCCGATCCATTCGGCGATCCACCCTTTGGTCAATTTCATCGCCTTTTTGCTTTGGTCTTCAGCATCATCAAGTTTTGTACTTTGGGCGATATGGCACTCCATCGCGGAACCGTTCGGTGACTCGCCGACTACTCATTTCTATCGTCGACTTGATTTTCTCCTTCAGGGCTCGGCACACTGAAACATTAGGCAAGACAATGGCTATTTGGCGACTCGCCCAATGGATTAGGCGATCCTCAGGTTTTCTTTTCTTCGTTTTTTCAGCTGCCTTGTTCCTTTTTGCTTAATAGTGTCCATGCTTTGTTCCCCAATCCAAATACCTGAAATTCAAGGATTTACAACCGTTATTGGCACAAAATATGCATTTGAGGACACTAAATCTATTAAAATAAAGCCCTAAATGAGTCCAAATCGTGAACTCATCACAAACCAATCCCCAAAATGCACACTTTTATGATAGAGCCAAGAATCATGAAGTCTTATAAAAATTAACTTTTTAAGCATAGTACCATGGACTTTACTCAAAAGTATACCACAATCATAAAATAGGTGAAATAAATCAATAATTCTAAATATTAGAACTTTCAAGTCAAAACTAGTTTCTTCAACAATTTGGACTAAATAGTTCCTCAATACACAATTTGATTGTTCTCCTATAACCACAAGATTAAGAGAACTAACAATATCATTCACAACCCTTAAACACAAGTATGCATTTTCTGGAGCAAACACAAATATCAATCCCAAGACTTTCATGAGTTTCTCATTTAGTAACTCACAACATGAAACAAATGACAGCATTAAATAATTTTCACTAATCACAACAACATTGTTACTATAAAGGTCAAAAGTATAGATATTACCTCCATGACTTTAGAAAGCCCAAAAATAAGTACTTGCCATTCAAACAAATCATTCTTTACTTTAGAAGACAAAGATACCTCAAACCTTTTTGTAATCCAAGAAGATGCTCTCAAGTATCTTACTTCTTTGTTGATCCTCTTTTGACATTGTTTCACAAATAAATCAAGAAGGTTAGTAAACTCATCAAAAGAAGAATTATCACATTTACACCTATAGATATTTGAAAATGCTTCAAATGGATGTCATCATACTCCTCATGATCCATTGCAAGAGTACTACCACAAAGCATATCCATGTCTTTAAAAGATAAACAATTGTTACAATCAAATTCACTTGCCAAGAGACATTCATCATCAATCACATTTTTAGTGTTTCTAGTAGCTTAAGAGGAAATAATTAATTTCATCTTTATCACAATAATTCAATTAAAGACCATGTTTTCCCATATTTAACATATTACTAGCTTCAAACCTTTTAAGCTCACAATCAAGAACAATTTTATCTACATAATCATATTCAACAAGTGTATGACGATCATCCATTCGCATACAAACATAAAGTAAAAAATCATCAACCTCACCAAAAGATGGACTAATATTCACACTCAAGTCACTATCAAGCTCATTTGAAGTAACAAGAAATTTATGATTAGTCATTTTACCTTGATGAGTACTTAGAGAACCTTCCTTACCTTGATTTCTTGAAATTATTCTCACTTGCTCACTTGAAAAAGTATCCCCAAATTTACTTGCTTCATTCAATTCTTGAATTTCTTTCCATGTTAAGTCGTCCCTTATTTGCTCTTCTTCAAGAATGCCTACAGAAGAAGTAAAAACACTAGAAGAACAAGAATTCAAAAGGTTAGAGCTAGAATAAGAAAATATCTCACTCACAGTCTCTTGTTTTTCTCTTACCTCATCTTCTTTTCTCTCACTTTTCTTCATTTCTTCTAGTGACACCCTACTCTCTTTTCTTTTGTGCTTGTAGCCACTCCCTTACTTCATTCAAAATATCCTCTCTTTTTTTATCTTTTCAATTGTCACTATCCACTTTCTTACTCCTCTCTTTATTTTCTCTGTTATTCATTTCATTAGGAGTGGAATAGGCTCCAAGGGATCCCCTTCGAGTCATTGGTATGAATCTTCACTTCAATCTTCAACTTGGCATCACTAGAAGCTTCAAAGACTCTACATGAATTGTTGGATCGACTTTGAACATCAAATTTCAAGTTAGTAGTCTCCTCTTTCACTTTCTTGACTTCCTTATTTGTTGTTAAGGATCTTGTAATAGCCATAGGAGTTAAGACATGCTTTCGTTCCATCCAATCTACAACAACAAATTTTCTAAAATTCCTATCAAACCAAAATTTATTATGTTTGAACCAAGGATTTCCTAAACACTCCAAACAAGTAGACAAAGGATAAACATCACACCAAATTCCCTCTTGATATCTCTTGTGGTAAACAACGAACTTAACCTTTTAGTCTACCTACCTTCAACCAAAATTATATGGTGAACTTTTTGTATGACAACGTATCTCCAACCACTCAATCAAAGATGGATCAATAAAGATGGTATAACACAATTTATCTACTTCTAAGGTGCAATCAAAAGTGCAACAATTTCATATCCTTCGACAATGACTTCAAATTTAGTAAAACTTCCATTAGGCTCATGCTCTTTTTTTCTAGTAGAACCACTACTATAATTATCATAGAATGCTTCACAATAACTTCTACAAAAAGTAAAATTATGAGATAAAATGCCCCTTTCTTCGTATTCATTCAAACCTCCATAGTAACTTCTTGAACTATATAAGACATAATTGAGATAAGAAAAGTGGTTAGTGAAAAATAATGGACCTCACAAGTCACTCCCTCATGTGTATCACTCAAATGATTGCACCCAATTTTCTTTCCACTGGTGTATACACTTAAAGATTGTAGGTTTGAGGACCACACTCAAATGATTTCACCACTCAATGATATCCCTTAGCCTCTTCACGATTTTATAATCTTAAATTAGCTCAAAGTAAGCTTTCAAGTATTGGTTCATAATGGAGTTTATGTCACCAACAAACAAGGACAAAATACACTAAAGGACTAGGAATGAAATAAACAGAAAAAAGAAAGAAAGAAAAAATTTGACACGAACAACTAGTGTAGCATTAAGTATGAACCAATCTCTTTTGATACTCAATCAAATGAACTCAAAATTGAGATACTACTTGTCCACAACTATATCAACTATTTTTGCCTCAAATTTCTTCAAACAAACACCAAATCAATAAAACCCATTTTCAAGTTTCTTCTTCTAAGCTTCAAATCCTAACAATGACTTCTTAATTTTTTTTAAGCCATGTATTCTTTGATTCAGCTAGAAACAACAATATGTAGCTCAAAGAAGTCAAGCAACTCTCAAATTTCATCAACTAAATCCAAACCTCTTTTTTTGCGGATTCTTTTTCATATTTGAAAAAATAAATAATTCAAGGAGGTATTGTTCTGATACCAATTGATGTAATGCGGAGTACAAGATAGAGAGATTCAAGGGATTATTAAGAAATTGAGGGGAAGTAGAAGAGAAAGAAAGAACAATCCCACAATTGAAGTAAATTAGAGATCAATAAATATAGATTTGTAATTCCCTAATTTTAACAAGCAACTACAAGATTAAATTCAAGGAAGAAGAGAATTGAACTCATACATGAATAATCTTACCAAAAGACATTCAAGAGAGATCCAATGTAGAGACAAAGGGATATAACTCACCAAGAGTATTCACCTAAAAATCTCTCCCCCCCCCCCCAAATAATCTTCATTCTATTCTATTTATACCACGAGTGTTAACTAAAATAAAAAATGACATAAATGCCCTTAATTACATGTACAATCATGTTATGACCATAAAGACCCTAAAACATAATGTTGATCTTTTCTTGTATTGATTCTTGCTTTCCACGCTCTCTTGAAACACTCTAAGCTCTTGATGTCAAGTGAAAATCCTTCCATGCAATGAGCACTTCCCAGACTTGCATCATCTTTTGACTTAACATTTATCACAAGAGACGATTCTGACCCATTCTGAATAATAACTCCACCGTTAGCTGAATCCACAAGGTAAATTCCCAAACGAGCAATGACACTATTCATAGACAACTAGATGAGAGAATCTCCACTACATTGGCTTTACCCGGATGGTATAAAACCCTTATGCAATAGTCTTTCAACAACTCAAGCCATCTCCTTTGGCGAAGATTAAAGTCCTTCTAATTAAACACGTATTAAAGACTTTTATGGTCGGTAAACACAGCCATGTGAAAACCATAAAGATAGTGCCTCTAAATCTTCAAAGCAAACACGCCGTTGTTAACCCAAGATCACGAGTCGGGTAATTCTTATCATGGACTTTAAATTTCCTAGAAGTGTAAGCTATGACCTTACCATGTTATATCAACACACAACCCTAACCAATCTTGGAAGCATCACAATACACCACAAACCCATCTAAACCTTCCGGTAAAGTCAAAACTAGGGCTGAAGTAAGTTGAGTCTTCAACTCATGAAAAATCTTCTCACAAACTTTGGACCATTGAAATTTTACCTTCTTCTGAGTTAGTCTAGACAAAAGAGAAGCAATAGAGGAAAATCCACCAATGAACCATGTGTAGTAACCAGCTATGAGATTTGCATTAACTAGTGCTTCTGCCAAATCACTTATTTGTTTCAAATCAGAAAATATAGGATCACCACAACGCATGTGTATTATGAAAGTATCAAGTTGGTGCCTTATATCTTGAAGCTTTGGTTCACCAAACTCATCTTGATGATGTTTCGGCAATGTCATTTTCTTTTTCTTATCAAAATTAGAAGAAAAAAACATTAATCATATTCAATCTTGTCGTACCAAGAAGGAAGTTACCACTCACAACATCAAAACGATTATGATGGTATTGTAGTTGCAAGTCAATAATAGCTTAAAAGAGCTCAACATGTAAGTGATGTGAATTAGTAACACTACAAGACCTACGCTTTGACTTTCTAGGAATAGAAAACTCATCCATCTTAAGTACCAAAATTTCATGTTTATTACAAAATAAAGAAACTTCATTCATCAAAGATTCCCATCCATCATCTCTCAAAAATTGCAATTTTTTTAGTAATGTCTAGAAATACCATGGAATTAACAATATCTGTCTCTTTTCCCTACAATGTTGCAGTTAACTCATTTGCCGTCATCGATATTTTCAACATCAAGTGAAGCAAGAAAACAAATTCAAATTCGTTGATCATACTTTAGAAAGCTCATGTTTGCAATCTATCATTGGGGTTGGAACTTCCACATTTAATTGCATCAAGCACATGGAATATAGATGAAAATAAAACAACAAAGTTATTCAATGTTCTAAAATGAGATCCCTCAATGAGAGTCACCTGACCATTGAAGCCCCCATTCTTGATTCAAGTCCTTTTCACTTTGAACCTCACCGCATCCTAGTAGTTCTTCCAACATTTTTCCTTGATGGTTTTGAAGTTGATATCTATGATTTTATGATGCTTCAACCACATTCAACACGTTAGCAATGATACCAAAGAAGTTGTCCACAAGAAAATATTTGTTGGCAACAACTACGGGTGTCAATTGTAATTGGTAAGCAAAATAGTTAATGTATATGCCAATGGAGTTTTCTTCAAAATCAAAGGTTTAAGGCCACTCATCTCTCCATGCATGTTACTAGCCCCATCATATCCTTGTCCACATATTTTTATATGTACTCAAAGAGCATCTCAAAAGCAAAGAGCATATTGCTTCCTTCAATGATTGTGCAGATGTATCACAAACACGAATAATAGCAATAATTCGCTCATTCACTTTTCCTTTTTTGTTAACATACCGCAAAGGAAGGGCTATTTGTTCATGGTGTGATATGTCTTTGGATTCATCAACTAATATTCCAAAAAAAATCTCCATCTAAGTCATCAATTGTAGCTTTCACAATTTCTTGTGCACAAGCACTCACAATATCCTTTTGAATTTTTGGAGAAGCATTTCTTGGAGCATATTCTAAAATAAAACTATTCACATTCAGAAGCATTTTTTCAAGCCATTCCACAAGACCTAAAAAAGGCCTTTATTTTTTTGAAGATTCACTTTCATCATGACCCCGAAAAGACAATCCGAATTCCAAGAGGAACCTTGCCACATTAGTAGAAGATTTTAAACATATTTGATGCTCACCTTTTGTTTTCTCAGGTTGCTTGTTAAAAGCAACTTGAATGGATTGAGATTGATCCTCAAAATCCAGCATCTTGTTGAAACACCTATTGTGGACGTTATTTACTTCAAAAATATGTAAATCAAAACGTTCCAAACTATGATTCGAAGTCTTAAAACCGGTTTTCGTGAAAAAATGACCTGCATTTCCCTTAACATAGCCATTTTTAATAAGTAGCGACATAAGAAAAATACAACATCTTTCTTCATACTATACTTTATCCACCTAGAATATAAACCCTTAAACCATGTAAAACAAAATCAAATCATTTTTGTTCCTAATCTAGTTTGAGGATATTTAGAAATAATTATTTGACAAGGCCCTTGTTGAATATAGTGTCTTCTCACTTTATCTCGTATTCTAGTGCTATATTTATGAATGGATATTCTTTCTCCACGATCCAATTTAAGTGACTGCAAATCAAACTCATCTATGATACACGGATAATTGTCTCTAACACTAGAACTTGGTTGAGAAGAACTATGTTTTTTCAACAATCTATCCATTTCAAATCACAAGAATCAACAAAAAAATCCTACAAAACAAAGATTCAATCAAGAATATAAGTAAATATTACATTGTTTATACGGGAATGAAAACCCTCCATCCCTCCTTTCGCAACACAACTAAAGTAAAATATAATATAGAAATCACACCACTAACAAAATAAATAAACATGATTATTTCAACAGGATATTGAAAACTCACACCCTGATTTTATAGAACAACAAAAATAATATATAATGGAGGAAGCACACTCCTTTCATAACATGATAAAAATATAAACTTACAAATAAATATGACATTTTTACTAGGTCAATCACACCCCTTTCTTTCATCACACAAAAAAAATACGCTTAAAAAGAACTTACCAATTTATATAGTGACAATATGAGTAGGACTTCAATTATGTAGATTGCAGTGAAGAATACTTATAAGTTGTAAGTTCGTAGGTTTTCTAGCAGTCTTATGTTTTACTTAGAATTGTGTTAGGGCTTTTTTTGTTTTTAACTTCAATGAAGAAAGGGGTGGGGCCAAATGAGATAGAAAAATACGGTTGGGTCCTCCTCCTTTTTGAATTATAAAATTCGGGAGGATTCATCCTAGAAAAATCTTGGACCCTAGTTGTTGTCGTATTCCCAATAGAATTAGCCTATGCAATGGTCTACTAATTGACTTGAGTGTTCATGGCCTGAGCTACCACTTGGAAAGCAGCCTTGAACTCAACATGAGAGACTTGCTTATTCAAAGGTTCTGGAACTATTGGTGCTTGTTGACCTGCATTCTTGTTACTTCTGACGTACACGTAGAGCACGAATTAGAACAAAAGGAGGTTAAATAGAGTTAAACACCGCACGACTGAGAGCATGAAAGATGTTAAGTATTTCATAAAAACGTTTCATATCTTCTCATTCATAAGTGTGGTGCGCTTCACACCCATGAATAAAACTCTACTAACGCGACTTTTAGATACTCTACGACACTTGAACCTAAGGCTTTGATACCAATTTTGTCATTATCAGAGACTATCCCCTAGTCATATCACAATGCTTAAAGCCACAAGTGAGTCCAAACTAACTCATGGCCTGTCATGACACTATGATTTATGTAAACAATAACTGAATGCTAAAGCTAAATAGGAATAACTAAGTAGTCTTGTAACAACCCAGAAAATTTTTGAACTAAGACTCGAACCATCCTTCATTGTGAGTAGGATTTTACCGAGGAATTTAAAATTTCTTGAGTGTTAAGGTCACTAGATGTAGAACCTTGAGTTCCAAGAAGAATTAAAGAGAGTTCATTCAAATCATTCCTAAGTTCCATTAAGTTTTGGCTCAACTTCAAACGACCATAACCTTCAGTAGAGGATGAGTTAGGTGGGCTATAATATATAAAATTAAAGGTGTTTGAATTATCTTTCCAACACCACCGAGTTTTCTAAATTTTGAGCTAAGATGAGTGAGCTTTGCCCTTTTGAAGTAAGGCTATCGAATAAAGGAAAGTTACCCAAAAATTGTGAGGGGTATTTTGGTCATTTCCTTACCCAATCAGATTTAATTCATTTTAAGTAAGGTTAAGGGGTATAATATGATTGGGTTCAGTTTTATAATCCTAATATACGCCTAGGGTTTTAGTTGAGAGTTCAAGAAGAGAAAAGAAGAGAAAAGAGGAGAAAAAATGAAAGGATCAAAGCGTTCGTCGAAGTTCTTGAGTTTTGTTGTGGATTTTCGCCTTGGGTTTAATCCCTGAGAGGTATTTCAGTTTCCATAGTGTTGGGTTAATTCACCCACACGCCAATCATGTTATTTTCAGTGTAATTCTGTTCTCAAAAGTTGAAGGAATTGAGTTCTTGATAGGTTTTCTTGAAGTTCATTCTAAATCTTGTTTTGATGATTTCTTGAGATAAAAGTAAGTGTTTTGAGTGTTGTTATGAGTAGATTAGGGTGTACTTAGGTTGAGTAATTGAATTTAAGGAAAACTTGAGAAAATAAATCGATTAAAAGTGATTTAGGATCAGAAAACGAGAGAAAAAATTCATCTGAATTGTTTGGGGAAATGGTGGCGTGACGCGCCACGGATACGCCAGTAGGGCTGGTGTAGCGCGCCAACAGTGTACTAGATCTTTCTCTCTGAAGTTAAGGGGTTGGACCCCCGCGCCCGGAATGCGCCAGGGTCGTCTGCCCGCACTCTTTTTCCGTCGGTTGTCCCATTTGAGTCCCTTTTAAGTGTACATTCGCTCCCTTTGATTCTAACTACTCTAAACTACTTCTAAACACATAGAAATCATTCATAACATGAATCATAACCTTGAATTCATAATTCAACTTCAAGGTAGAGTTAACAGTTAAGTTTTGAGAATTCTTTCGAACATTCTAAGAAAGTCCCTTTGAGTCTTTTTGAGGAGTCTTCTAGAATTTCTAATAACTTGTTTCAAGACTCGAGCAAGTGAGTATGAGGATGAGGAGAATATATTCATGAATCTACTTTATCATCACAAGATCATTCATATCATGAACCATAACTCTTCAATTCATAATTCACATTCAAGAGAGAGTTAAGAGTAGAGTTCAAGAAAGTAAGTATGAGAATGGGAAGAGTTGTATACATGAGTTCCATGTTTTTATGTAGACCCTCGATTCGAGTCTTTCATGCCCATAAATTCCGCATGAACTCCATAAAATGAGTACCTTTGAGAGTAGTAGTACCTTCAAGTTCTAAGTCTTCAGTATTGAGTTCCTAACCTATTTGAGAATATATTCCTAATCATGGGAATATTACATGTTGCCCGTGAAGTCCTTGAGTTGAGTTGTTTGTGCCCATAATACTGCATGAACCCGATGAGTCGAGTAGTCTTGAGATGAGAAGTATCTTTGAGTCCTTGAGTTGAGTAGTCCATGCCCATAATTCCACATGAACCCTCTGAGTCGAGCATCCTCGAAGCGGGAATTATTATTGAAGTTCCTGAGTTCTCAGTTGTTGAGTATCGAGTATTGAGTTCTAGTTACGGTTATTGAAAACCTTGAATTGAGTCATTCACGTCCATAATTCAGCATGAACTTTATTTCGAGAA